CTCTGTATACATGATATACAATAAGGGTCAAGACATATGAGACTGTGCATTTTGAAAAGGTGCAAAAACAGACTGCTGCTTGTTCCCCTAACTGGCTCCTATCGGGGGCAGCCCAGTTTGTCACAATTTCATTCGAGTATTTGAGTATTGATGAGTCATAATTACACTGCACTTAAATACTGTAGTTGTAACTTAAGTTTTTTATTTTCCCCCTTCAAATTGGAGGTGTTGAGATAGTCCCTCTAAAATGTCAATTCATCTTTTGTTGCTAAATGTTCATTCCTTTTTGTATGCAAATCAAAGCAAATTTTACTGTAAACTTTCAACAATGAATGTTCTTTCGTTAAAAACAAATGAAAAATAAAATTCACTCCAGACAATCAATCAATCATTGATTTACTCTTTTTGAGAGTGTCCGTGATAACTTCCATCATGCAGGACACAGTCGAGGCCAGTGACAAACTGACAGGATTCCCCCTGTCCCGTCTCCCTCTCTCCCTGTCCCGTCTCCCCGTATCTCTGTTCTGTCTCCCTGTTCTGTCTCCCTGTCTCCCTGTTCTGTCTCCCTATTATGTCCCCCTGTTCTGTCTCCCTGTTCTGTCTCCCTGTTATGTCTCCCTGTCTCCCTGTTCTGTCTCCCTGTTCTGTCTCCATGTTCTGTCTCCCTGTCTCCCTGTTCTGCCTCCCTCCCTGTCTCCCTGTTCTGTCTCCCTGTTCCGTCTCCCCGTCTCCCTGTTCAGTTACCGTGGCGACATTCCCTGATCCCCGTGCAGCGAGCCATCCTCTCCGCCTCAAGGAATGCATCCCGCAAACTTATAACTGTGGGTGGTTGGCGGGTGCTCTGGTGTGGTTTGCTTCTTCTTTCCTAGGCTATGAAACATCTGTCGTCCTTATTTCCCCTTCTTTTTTATGTTTCTTGCTCTCTTGTAACACCTCGAATCTTCTGGCGCTCATATGACTGTATGCAGTTGCGCGCGCCGTAAAACCTCTACTAAAACTAAAACTTATAACTTACCGTGCTGCAATAAAATATCAAAGTCCGTCCTTGCTCAAGAAGACACACCGTTTGGTCAATACACACAAAGCAAAACACTAGGTCTAGGTCGTCTAGCTCGAACTGTGCTTTATCTTAGCAAGAGAATCATTAGTGAACTCGCCTTGTAAGTTGTAGCCCTGCTACACGGCGCTGTCAACATGTTGTGCACACAGTTTCAGCCAGGTTGGGGTAATGTGTGCGTGTGCGTGTGTGTGTGTGTGTGCGTGTGTCAACTGACCCGAGACGAGACCAGGCGAGATAAGATGAAGTGACCTCAGACGTGACCTATGACGTCAGTGCTGTGAGGTTAACCGTCACGTGACACAGAGGGGAAATCCCGACCTGTGAAGTGGTAGGCCTACCTACAGCCTATACGCTCTTATCTATACGCTCTTATCCCGTCTAGCCTACAGCCTACAGTCGCCCCAAGCAAGGAATCACTTCAAGTGTCCCGTCCTTGTCTGTCGGTGGAGACCTCGCGTTGAGCCGGTGGTGAAAGGCTGTAGGTTCGATTCCCGGCGGACTGAGAAAGGGGGGAACTATCGGAGCTGAACATTTTTTTAGAAAAAAATAAAAATAAAATAAGAGCTGCAAATTTTTTAGAAAACAAAACAAAACTATCAGAGCTGCACATTTTTTAGAAAAAAAAACAACTATCAGAGCCGCGCACTTTTCACGATATCACACAATTACATTGCCGATTCCACCCAACGGTTACAGCCCCCTTGACAAAATTACTCTGTAGGCCTACACCCCCCCCTCCCCCCTCCCATCCAAATATATTCGTCTTTCTGCTGACATTCTTAGCGACTTCCGGACCATTTT